ACTGATTCTTATTCATCCTTCAGGTCTCAAATCAATATTGCTGTTTCCTGAAAGCTGCAATTCCCCAGAGTTAGGTAATGCTATTCTGTGTCTCCTCCCCAAGTGCCTTAAACACATGTTCAATCATAATGTATGTATGGTAAATGGTAGTTTTCAAAAATTTGGTTCTTCCACACATTGGGAGGCTTCAAACTAGGCAACCTGGCCTAGAGCTAACCTACGACCTCTTTGAGTAGAGCCCTCAAGAATGTTTTCTGCATTTTTATAGAGCTGGTTAAAAAAACACTATGTACTTAAATATTCTCCAATATTTACTACCTGGTCCTCTACAGAAAACATTTGCTGACCCCCTCCAGAGTTCGTAAGAAATTTGAGCACAAGGGAATATTTCTTTTTTTAATATTTCTTTTTATTTATTTATGCATATAAAAACTGGGGTGTAGACCAGAGGTGCAGGAGGTGAAAGGATGCACCAGAGACAGAGTGGGGAGCAGAATAGGCAGATTGAAATACACTGCTGAGGTGATAGTGAAGGCAAAGATAAACAGCTGGGACTACATCAAATTAAAGAGCTTCTGCATAGCAAAAGAGACAATAACAAAAACAAAGAGAAACCCCACCGACTGGGAGAACATTTTTGCACACAACACTAATGATAAAGGACTGATCACAAAAATCTACAAAGAGCTGATGAGACTCAACAAAAACAAAGAAAATAATCCAGTCAAAAAATGGGCAGAAGAGCTAAAAAGAAACTTCTCTGAAGAGGAAATGGCCAACAGGCATATGAAAAAATGTTCAACATCACTTGTAATCAGGGAAATGCAAATCAAAACTACAATGAGATACCATCTTACACCAGTGAGAATGGCACATATTAAAAAAACTAGCAACAACAAATGTTGGCGAGGGTGTGGAGAAAAAGGAACTCTCCTGCACTGCTGGTGGGAGTGCAAACTGGTCCAGCCACTATGGAGAGCTGTGTGGAGATTGCTTGACCTACTAAACATAGAGCTTCCATATGATCCAGCAATTCCACTCCTAGGTATTTACCCAAAGGACACAGAAACATCAATTTCAAAGAACACCTGCACCCCTATGTTTATAGCAGCACTATTTACAATAGCTAAGCTTTGGAAACAACCCAAATGCCCAAAAATAGATGACTGTGTCAAGAAGATGTGGTACATATACACCATGGAATATTACTCAGCATTCAAAAAAGATAAACACATGCAATTTGCAGCAACATGGATGGCACTGGAAGGGATCATGCTCAGCGAAATAAGCCAAAAAGAAAAAGAAAAATACCGGATGGTCTCACTCATAGCAGGAATCTAGAAAACTTAAATAAGGGACCAGGAAAAAGAATAACTATAAGAAAGAAAATATCAAAATCAACAAACAACTATGAACCAGAGACACTCTATTGGGGGTGGGGAGCGGGGAAAGGAGGGATTGGGGTCAATATAAGGGGTTGTAATTGTATGGGGAATATAAAAATAAAATTTAAATTAAAAAAATAATTTAAAAATTAAAAAAAAAAAAGAGAAATACACTGCTGAGGGAAGTAGTGGATGAGACAGGAGAGGTCTATTGCTCCATGTGGGTTAGTGCCCTGGCCTGGGATTGAACTCAGGCTGCACATAGTTTGATAGTGCTGAGACCTAATCCCTTGCACCACCGGGGAGGGCCAGAAATATTTTTCATTTGATTGTATATCCTACTCCTAACACAATGTAGGCACATACTAAACATTCAGATGCTTGTTGAATAAAGGAATGAATTAATGAGTACAAGTAGTATTTTTTAAATTGTAATTTATGATAGAATCAATACATGATTTTATTTGCCTCCCAATGTGCAAATAAAATATACTCCATTTGAGTAACTTTTTCCTGGCCCTGGGTGGAAATGTGGACAGATCATATGACTTTTCAGTTCATTTCTTCAAGAATAAATAGTCCTGAGATCACTGAAACACCGTCTTAATTCAGTAATCAGGAAATATTTAGTCCAGGACCAAAATCTTCAGGCTTTACTCAGAGACAAGTTACCCTAGACAAAGGCCTATTTATACCTTTATCAGGGTGGAAGCAGGAACAGGGAGAAGAGGTAAAGGGATCGCTTATTTCTTCTTTGGTAAAATGAGTGGCTTCCCACTCTCTAAGTCTCTGGCTCTTCTTTGGGTTGTTTAAGGACCCCTGTCAGTGAGGATCCCTTCCCTGCAAATTTGGGGACCTAGGTTGCTGCATTTCTATTCAGATTAGTAGTTTATAACTCCCTCCTCAGTCCCTAAGAATTCGAGTTATCTCTGGCTTTTTGTTGCTGGGATTCTTCCAGCCCTCTAGGTGGTCCTGTTGGACAGGGTCCAGGATGAACCCACCTTGTCTTTCTTTCTTGCATGACCCCCATTTGGTTCTCAAAGATCCCTTGCCCTGACATTCTGAAAATGCCGGCCAATCCCAACACAGTCAACTGTCCTCCTGCCAAGGGCCACATTAGCTTTCTCAGAATGGAGTACAGTTCCAATCCTCTGACTCTACTGCAGGGAGCAATATCAAGCTATTGGTGAAGAAGGTGATTTCTCCCAAGCCCTACCACTCCAATTGTAGCCGCTAGCCCTTATCACCATAGAAGGCAGAGACAGTCTTAGAATGGCCACAGATCTCTGCAAAGAAATGTTTTCACAATTTTTCTTCCCACCCACTCCCACAATCTGACTTCCTTTTGGTTCTTGGATCCTGCTCTGGAGCATTTCCTTTGTAAACTCTGCATATGATGACCTGACTTTGGAATTTCCCATCTATTATAACACATCTATTACACCTTCCTGGAAACTTGACTTTTAATATCACATTATGTAAGAATTAATTTTTTTTCCAATTGGGTAAGAAAAGTTAGAGGATCCCTGATGAAACCTCCAATTCTATTCAAGTAGCCTCATTCTCTTTGACATCTAAAAATTTGAAATGAAGTCATTAACATTTATTAAACAGCTTTGTGCTTTAGAGATGTTTTCTAATATAATCCTCATGAGGATAATTTCTCATTAACAGATGAGAAAACTGAGTTTCAAAGAAATCGATGAACTTTTTCAAAGTAACCCAGAAAATATAGATTAAAGTTAAGTTTGAAACACAGGTCTACCAGTCTTCAAAATTCATGGTCTTCCATTACACCATAATCTTCAATTTTTTTGCAACCAAAATAGGGCAGATTAGAGTGAGTCTCTAAGGAAGTCTCAGTGGTTCAAAGAGACCCCAGCACAAATGGAAAATTCCTCTGAAGTCTCATGCTTACTTATAAAAACATATATAAAATTTGTATTTTATTTTACAATATGTTTCTTATCCTATAAACCAAGTTTAAAATTATCACTAAAATTATTTATGTTCTCCCATTCCAAACTTTCAAATAAAAGTGATCCTCTAGGGCCTCCCCAGTGGCGCAGCGGTTGAGCGCTGGGTTGCGAAGCTGCCTGCGGCCTCTGCGGCGCCGGTTTGATCCCCGGCTGCTCCCCGGCCACTGGAGGAGGGTCCCACATGGCGCGCAGACCTCTCCTACCGCCCGCTGCTCCCCTCAGCAGTGTACTTCGGTCCTTCTGCCTGCTCTGCTCCCCGCTCTGGCTCTGGTGAATTCTCTCACCCTCCTGTGCTTCTGACTGTACCCAGTGCATGTATAAACAAAACAAACAAACAAATAAAGAAAGAAAGAAAGAAAACATGCCTCTAAAAAAAAAAAAGTGATCCTCTAGGAAAATGCACTGGGTTTATCCTGTAGCTTCATGAATCTTGAGGATAAGCTTCCAGTTTGAGAAATTCTAGCTTACCACAAGGCACTAGACCATGCTGGTAAGGTATTAAGGATTTCATGGAAAGTTCAAACCCATTGTAACCGCTAGAATGAGGGAAAAAATTAAAATGATGAAAAGATAGAAGAAGCAAAATTTGTTCAAGAAAATTTGGGATAAAGGGAAAAACACCACTGTACTTCTTTTTTAATTTGGCATAACACTGTTATTAATCCCATTATTACTATTAATTCCATGATAAAATTGTTGATGACTTTGAGTTGTTGGATGAATAATGCACTGATGTTATTATAATATTGGAAAAGTGACATGAGGACATTCAGCTGTTCTTAATCTGGAAGTCTTCCATGGAGCACAGAGATTGTATGCTCATTTCTGAGGAAGGTGTAGGTCCATAGTTTTTATTAGGACCTCAAAAGAATCCAACATCCACAGAAGGTTAAGAATCATTCTACAGAGAAAGCAGCAGAGATTTGGGGATAATATTACCTTGTTTTCAAGTTTACTAAACTACATACTTCTTCTCTGAGCCTCAGTTTCCTTACTTGTATAACAAATAAGAGGGGGCAAGGTTAAAACTGCCTATAGTCACAGGGTTGGTGTGAGGGTTAAATGAAATTCTATCTGCTAAATGCTTGACACAGAGCAGGTACTGGAGAAATGTTAATCTTTCTCCTACCTTAATATATAAAATACAGTAAGGGCATTTAACTACAGGTAGATGAATCCTTTATAATGGAACCTATACTGTAGATAAATATGCCTTTTTCAAAAACATTCTGCCTGAATTTTAGAATCCTAATCAGAAATTCTGGAGTCCAAAACTTAAGTTAAATTCCACAAAAAAAAAAATCAAATGAAAAGTAATCAGTAGGTAAAAAAATTTCCCAAACCTGGGAACAGACATTCTGTTTGTCAGCATGGCATTATTTAAATACCACTACATTGTGACATGTTTGTTTTCAATTCTAAGCATATATTACTATAAAAAGACCCATGGTGAAAGCCTCTTGAATTAAGCAAGATATCTGATCCACTTAAATGATTTATGAGGAAGCTTTTATGCAGACAGGGAGACTTAGCAAATCCTGCAGCTCATGAAGACTCGAAGGGGTTAAAGTGGAAGGCTTATAGAAACTTTGCTTCTGAGCTTATCTCCTCCCTCTTGGGCTCCACACCGCTAAGGCTGAGCAGAGCTGAATCACTACCTTGCTGGCATACTATAAACTGTTGCCTGCGAAAAAGGAACTGGGGACTTAACTATTCAGGCTGCTTCCATTCAAGTGTTCCAGAGGGTATATACACCTCCAGACTTCTCTTGGCTCTTTGGAGTTTATAAGGAGCACGCATCTGAAACTGAACTCTAACTGTAAGTGGCAACCTGCATTTTAAGTAACTAGTAAAAGATGCTTTTCAGTTTTTCACTGGAAAGGTCTGTCTCTAGAAGATGAAAGAGAAAGCACACTTTGCACAGATGTAGTCGCGTTTCTTGCAAAACAATGCTTTCACTCTGTTTTCCAGATATTCCAGAGATGTTCCTGAACAAGTTGCCTGTTGGTGCAAGCTGCAAATGGGAGACTTAAAGGCCAAGCCCATTCATCCTATGAGCCAGGGAAGGTAAGAAAGGTTTGGAGATATTATGATGTTATTCACGGTAAAGTGAGCGGCATTATTTTATTTATCGGCAGGTGTGACAAATAGGCACCATCTGCTGCAGAAGATAGGGCAACTCCCACTTAAGAAAGCGTATTACTTAATGGCTCCAGCCACTGAAGAAGCACTTGCTGGCATTGTTTTTTTCATAGGCTGATGTGAAACTAGATACTCTTTAACAGCAACTACCTCCCGTGAATTGCCCTCTGGAACACAGGGCAAATAAATACGCACAGTGCATGAACTGCTGCAAGCTGTTGAAATTAATAATTTTGACTTTGTCTTCTGAATTGTTTTACCCATCACTTTCCTTAGCTATTTGGTAAGATTTTGGCTATGGATTTATCTAGCCAGGTGTCTGCAGAAAATTAAATTAACAGTGTAGTGTTTTCAGAACTTTACCTTCTTAAAGAAAAGTAACCTCTGGGAGCAACGTGACAACCAAAACATGAAAACAAGTTACATTTATCTCTCTATCCTCTGCACTTAGCACACAAAGATTTGCTGAGAAAAGGTCAATCTAAATTTGAGGGTGTACACAGAAGTTATTAGAAACAAGTTTCATCCAAGGAATCCCTTTCAGGATAAAAATTTCATGTTCCCCTCTCATTATAAGGAGAAAAATTCATGCTCTGTGGGTGTTTTTTTTTTTTTTTTTTTTTTTTTTAATGAGGCTAGCTATATGCTGATGTTGAGCATTAGAAAAGTCTTGGTATTTCCGTGTTCATGCCAAAAACATAAGATTTTTTTTTTATTACCAATAGTTATATTCACCGAGTTAAAGACAAAACAATCAGCAAACCAAAGTTGTATTCATATCACTGGGTATTTCAATTTACAGCAGAAGTGAAGTCAACCAGATGTTCAGGCTAATATTAAACATTGGCCAATTATTAATTTCTTACACTCTGCCTTCCCCCAAATATTCTTTCCCATTCCTATCACCCTTCCTTCTTTCCCCAAATTTACCTCCTTTCTCATTTTGTCTCTACTGCTTAATTGCTCATTTCCTCCCACCTCTTATCTGTCCACTTCCCACATCTCTCACCATTTTCTTCCTCACATTTTCTTCCTCCCCTCCTCCCCCTCCCCCAAGCACCCTTCCTTTCTTTTACAAATTCCTTCTCTTCTTCCCATTCCTAATTCTACCCCTTATCCCTCAACAGCTTTTGGTTGTTCTTCCAAGGATGACAGCCTGATTTTTATTTTATGAGCTTTCGAGAAAGAAGTACAAGATACTAAAATTTACAAGGGTCTTTTTACAAAAATCAGATATTTCAAAATTAATAGACTCGATTTCTTTTGAAATTGGTTATTTTTATTTGATGGTGCAAAACTTTTAATGGAGCAATCACATAATCTGTGCAACTCATTAGATAGCAAAGAGAGCTACAGCAACCTTATCTGGAAAGCTTTTGTGAGAAATTGTCAGATACAGACCCAGAGCAACAAAGAGAGTTCCCTAATCCCTAATTTGCTATTTACTCATGTCAAAGACCTTTATGGATGTAAAGAGTTAACTTGATAGACCTGTCTGCATTGATCAGGGTTTGTGGTGTCCTGCCAACTACAGGGGTTTTAAGAAATATATGATTATTGGTGGTGTGAATTCCATGGGGACTATACCTGAAATGATAAAGCATACATTGAATAAAAATGAAGAATGTTGTAAAAAATATATAAAATAATAAAAAAGAAAAATAAATAAATAAATAAGAAATATATGATTAGTTAGTTTTCCAAACTCTCAAATGAAATGTTTTAAAAAATTGTCAACTTTACCTGAGATCACTGTTCTCTAAAGCATTCTCCAAGCTTCACAGAATTCTAATAAATATTTTGTAAATATTAAGACTTAAGGAAGATACAAGGTCAAAAGTGCAGGAGGCAGAATGAGTACTATCAATTGTTACTGAAAGGCATCTTACAGACACAGTTGAGCTTTCTAAAATTTAAGGCTATCAACCCAGAACATGTAGTTTTCCCTTAAAAGACTATAACTGAAAGTAATTCAAAAGCAAAGTTTCTAAACAAGTGATTATTTCTTAATTCTAGATTATAACCTGGAATCATTAAGTCCCCTTTGTACAATTAGAGGTTGGAGAGAGGGTGAGGGAAAGAGAAAGAAAAGGGAGCTTGGGATTCTTTCTCAAGATACATTAGTTAACAGAAGATACATTAGTTAACAAGATACATTAGTTAACAGAACAGAGAAAAGGATGTGCTTCTCTCCAGATTATCAGTGCTCAGTGCATTTCTTCAGCCATATCCATGCATTTTTTTCAGCAGTTATTGTGTAGCTATTGTCAATATGGCTGTATAAGAGAGATTGAAAAAGATTCTCAAGGAGCTTATAAATTACAACTTGGGGAGAAACACATCAAATAGAGATATATAATATTAGATAAATGTAACTTCTCCAGGAGAGATGGAAAGCTTGTGGGAATTAGGATGTGGATGGGAAATCAAGGTCAGCTTGATGAGCTGAACCTTGAAGCACAGTAGCATTTCCCCAAGCAGAGACGGACGTGCAAGGATGGAAGGAAATTGTCAAGCAAAAACATGGAGGCAGGAATGTAGGTAACAGTGAGCTCCACTGCTTGATTCGAGGAGATAGTGGAAGGAATTTAGGTCTTCCAGGACCAGGGTAAAGACAGCCTTGAATGCCAAGCTAATGAGAATGGACTAAAGTCCAAAGGCAGGCAGTAAGGTGACTCAAAGGTGTTAAGTGGGCTTCCAAAATTGTATCCCTCTTTCAACCTATTAAAATTGTTATAAATGAATCATGTGGTGATAGAATATAGAGTTTAAAAAAGCAAGTTGAAAAAGATAGCCGGCTTGACACTTTAAAAAAAGAGCTCAAGGAAAATTAACATGTTTAGAAATGGGGTGTACCCGCATGTGTGAATGTGTGTGTGTGTGTGTGTGTGTGAAAATAAAAGCTAGATAATGAAGAACAAAAATTAGAGAGTTGGTTATTTCTGGGGAGGAATAGATAGTAGGATGAGATGGAAAGGAGCTGAAGTAGATGCTGTGTAAACTACTGGTTATTCTCAATCTTAAAATTGGTAGGTGATTGTTCACAGATATTTGTATATGGGTGTATTAAGCAGGCAAATTAACGAGGCCCTGAATGTACCCAAGATGACAATGTGCTATAAACCAAGGAGTATGATTTCTCCAAATCTCTGGACCTGTTGCAGTCCATAGGCGAGGAGAAATATGCTAAGATACTATAAAGGCTTCTCCCCTTGGCTTGCACTCCAGTGCCTGCTTATTTTCTTTCCCTTTCTCTTCTGAAGGGCAGGTGAAAAACTAACTTATGAGAAACATGAGTAAAAACATTCATTAAGCTGTTGTCTCTGAGCCAGCACCACTCTTAAGGAAAGGAGCTGCAGAGGGGAGAGGTGGCAAGGGAGGCTGCTTGGACTGAAAAGCTCTACATGAAACCCATTTAGTAAATGGGGGCAGCTGAAATCAAAAGACACCTCAGTGTGGGTTGCCTGGGCCTGTCAGGCCCTGAATTGTGAGCCTCTGTTCTATTGCAGAGAAGTGCTTCTCAGCCCTGGCACCGTGTCAGAATCACCTGTGTCGTTTTTAAGCCATACTGAAGTTCATGTCCCACACAGACCAACTGATTAGTGTCTCTGAAGGAGGCCCCAGGTGTATGTATGTTCAAAAAGCTTAATACATGATTCTGACAGGCAGCAAGGGCCAGAAAAGTCATTTCTTTCAGCAAGTGCTTAGAAACTCTGAGTAGCTGGCTCAAATGTAGATTTCAGGGTCCTATCTCCAGAAATTCTGACCTAGGAAGGAAAAGAAGGGGCCTAGAAATTTGTATTTTAATAAGCCTCTTTCAGGTGACTCTGAGGAAGGAACTTCTTTGGGCCACATTAAGAAACGTTGCCCCAAAGGTTCCAAAACACTAGGGCCTCAGGGTGACTACTTTGTGTATTGGTTTCCTAGGGCTGCCATAAACAAATTACCTAGAGGATGGCTTAAAACAACAGAAATGTATTCTCTCAGGCCCAGAGGCTAGAAATCTCAAATCAAGGCACCTCCTATCAGGCCATGATCCCTTAGCAATCTGTGGGGTAAAATCCTTCATTTGCCCTGCTAACTTTGGCTTTGCTGGCAATCTGTGGCTTTTTTTTTTTTTAACTTTAAGATGCATCAGTCCAGTCTCTCTGCCTGTCTTTCTGTGTGTGTGTCTTCTCTTCTTATAAGGACACCAGTCATTAGATTAGGGCCAACCTAATGACCTCACTTGAACATGATTACATCTGCAAAGACCCTACTTCCAAATAAGGTCACATACACAGACACTGGGGGGTTCAAACTTAAAACAGGTCTTTTGGGGAACACGCTGTTTTAGTTTTTTTTTTTTTTTTTTTAAGTAGGAGCCCCAAAACAACCAATAAAACAGATTAATTATGTTCTTTAGCTTGGATATCTAGAGAGACAATTATCACTACTACTGATAGTTAATCCTGAAAGCTTAGTGTACAAAGAACCACCTAAAAATTTTGTGTGTGGAATGCATATATTTGGGCCTTGATGATGTTACTGGAATGCCGGATGACTTCAGTTCCCTTGGCAAATAAAAGGAAACAGTTTGAGGAGAAGGAAAGTAGTTTGTCAACAAACTGAGGAGGGCAGCAGACTAGTGTCTAAAAGACCACTGTCCTGCTCTTTAGCAGAGGGCAGGGGTATTTATCCAGAGTTACAAGGGAGTGGACAAGGGTCAGCATGTCCATCCTTGTGATACAAGCATCTGGAGATTTGGGGGAAATTCAGGTTGGCACCAGCTTGCTTTACTATCACCTGGTGGTCAGCAATTCTGATGTTATCTTCCCAGCATGTAAGAATGTAAGAAAACAACATTTGTTAAGCCTAGAGGGTAAATAAAGAAAATGGGAACCCTTATCTTGTGAGAGAGAGAGAGAGAGGCAGGTGCTTTGTCACTGTATCACTATAAAGTCTGTCTCTAGGAGGATTTTCAAGCCACCACCATGGAGATTAAGATCCTAGGCCCAGACTTAGAGTGTATGTTTTAATAAGTGCACTAGCTAAATCATATGATCAGCTAATTTGGAAAACACTGTCCTAATCTAACCTATTTATTATCTGCTGGTCAGTGGTCTGAATATACTTTAATCTTTTAAAAGCTATTTGCCACAGAGGGAAAAAAGAATTAAAGTTATGAAAACTCGGGATACCATCTTAAAACTAATTTGCCCACAGCAGACCATTTCACAATATATCAGTTGATTTTTATTACAAAAAAATTACTGTCTGTTTTTCTTAGGTTCCTGAATTGTTTATTTTTGTTTTTAAATTTCAGGAAAGTCAATCTGTTGAACAACCTTGAGAATCAAATCTTCTGAGCCTAGACCTCCTGCTGCCAGCATGTCTAAGACATCTTCCGTCTGAAAATTGCCAGGTCTGAGAATAATTTCCCTCCAGCGCACTGTGAGGGACAGCCACAGAGCTGTAGAAAACACATCTAGATTTCCAACCCTCAAGGTGTGCCACCTGAGCAAGCTCCATCCTTAGGGAAGATTCAGAAAGACACATCATAAGGGGTGAAAACTCAGATATGCTGAACCTGAAATATACAAAAACCTTTAGAAAATCTCCTAACAGAGGAACCCAATTAAATCTATGCAATTGGTGAAACAAAAGTACTTAGATGAGCTACAGGTAAAACAGAGCCCTTTCTCCCTTAACCAAAACAGAGTAGAAATTTGATTTAATAGTTGGAGAAATTCTTGTCCCCATACCAGTATTATAAGACAGTTTCCCCATTTTTATTTTAATCAGTATCAGAGTAGCACTGTGGAAACCAAAATATTTATTTTTTTTTGTAAAAAATGATTAAGATGTTCAAATAAAGCCTATAGGTTAGGGCGGTTCTGTGCTGGAGGACAGAGTGGGTGGGGCCATTGCCAAATTAGAACATTACGATTTTCTTGCTTGTGTACTTGGTTCTGACCCCGATTGCCTTGTATGAGATTGTTAGAACACCTCCTACACTTTCAGAGACATTCTACCTGACTGTGGAATGCCTCAAGGGCAATAAAATATTAAGTAGAAGAGGTACCAACTCGAGTCTTGAGTGATGTCGGAGGTACATTTCAAGCACCATGGAAATCTCACTGGACGGGCCCATTTTCCCACCCTGGCCACAGAGGTTGATACCACTTCAGATAAGTATTCCAACCTGTACATGTATGTGGGCTTGTTCCTGAGCCTCCTGGCCATTCTCCTCATCCTGCTCTTTACAATGCTCCTTCGGCTCAAACATGTCATCTCACCCATAACTGAGAGCACAGAAAGTGTTCCTCAATTCACAGATGTCGAGATGCAGAGTCGAATCCCCACTCCTTAAACCAAGATGAAGGTGAGCTTCCATGGCTCTCAGTAAACTTTTGTACGTTGATGTTCTAGAACACTTCCTTGTTTGCATGTAGCTTCCCACCTAAAGTACCAACTAGTTATTCATGTTTTCTTTTTCTGTTCTTTATTTGCACTTTGCTTGTGGGATATCTAAGAGGTTTAAGAATTGTTCTTTGTCAGAAATATAGGAAATGGCAGCTGGTTGGGAGGGCAGGTTTCCATAGTAACCAAAGAGAGCCTCAACTGTGAGCAAACATCAGACCAGAGAAATTCTTAAGCTGTTACAAGAAACACAGGATCTGTGTAAGCTCCAAGAACAAAGAATTTGCCTTCAAGAACTGATTGTTCAAAGAGGGTATCCCAAGAAAAGGACTAGAATTAATTTAGCACTTGGACCTTAAAGAATCACCTCTGCTGACATGAAGATAAATCACATCAGAGGTTAATGGAAGGGATCACTAACCCTTTCCCAAAGGAACAGTGATTTGATCATCTGAGGCCTTTGGGCTTGTTCCAAATGAAAGAAGACATTTAAAGAAACTTTCATTTAAAAGAGCAAGTTTGCAGAAAGAAATTTCTAGTTAACAGACTCATCTAGAGAGGGAAAATGTGTATTTTATATCTGTGTTATTACTATTATTGGACTTTTAAAAACTCAGATAATGGTAGATGTATTACAAAACTTTGGAATGATGAGCTTCCCCAAAAGCCGGGAAAGAGTAAGTCAAAATACATTCATGACAATGAGCCTTATATTATACGTGCAGGTTCTTTGCCTTTTTCTCCCTCCCCATCACGCTCCAAGATTGAGTTGTACACACAGATGAGCTTGTTTAAAGGTGGCCTTGGCAAAGAAGAATCAACTATTCTTTAAAGCAGAAAGGAAATAATCTTGGTATTCTATCATTGAATAATTGTGGCTTTGAACAAAACTTTCAAGCCTCTGGGTCCCAGTTTTTTCTTCTGAAAAATGATCAGAAAGCTATTTATTCATCACTAGACTCCTTTTATATCTGTCAGAAAAACAGGGAGGAGGAAGGGACTAAACAACACCCTCCAACAAATTCTTAATGAGATCAATTCCTCAAGTGTCACATTTGTCTTTCCCAGAAAATGCCCCCCCTTCCTATCCCTGCCAAAAGATGAAGTGTTCACTTATCTAGAAGAGAAATATATTTTGAAAAGTTCCAGCCTTATAAGTAGCCCTAGTATGGCCATAGTGGAGAAAGAACTTTGATTTTTTTTTTTAAATTAACATTCCAAAGGGGAACCAAAGGAGATGAGTAGTGTTTACAAAGGAGAAATTTCAAGTCTGATCATAAGCTTGCCACCAAAGATCTAAATACACCTGTGTTAAATTCTGCCTGCTTTTTAAAAAAGTCAGTTCTCTCCTGCCCCTGAAAAGTGGTCAACAAATTTCACCGGGTGCTCCCTCGGGAACTGCAGTGGTGGTGAGAGAGAAAGGGAATAGATGTTAGGTTAATGCCACCTCCACCAGACATGCTGCTCTCTCTAGTCTAACCAATTTAGATTGGCCCCTTTACTCTGATCTAAATCTAGCATGGTGGTGAAATTCCCAAGTGCTTTCTACTTTTATACACAGTCATTTGCCAATACTTCCCTCTCCAAGGGGCTGCAAAGTGTGAAATCCCCACATGCAGAGCTAAACTTAGCAGCAAGGCTGACTCTGGCACACCTGTTACAACAGAGAACTGTAAGAGATGGCAGCTGCACGCTGCACCATTCAGAAGAGATCAACAGGTAGGCTAAGACTCGAGTAGGGTGAACACTTCCCTTTTGGCATGATGTTTTCCAAAATGCAAAGTGACTTGTATATTATTACATTTGGTGGCTTAAGTTGTGTCTTTATTCAACACTCAGACTCCGTATACCCTTTAAAAATTCAGTTCTGGCAGTTATGCAAGACTTCATCATAGACTGCAAGCATACCCCAGAACTTCTCATGGACACACATCTCCCCTCACTCCAGGCTCTCCCTTTTGTGCTCACAGTATTTGAATGCACTTTACAATGAAGATGTCAATGGCTGGATAATTGAAGGAACTGATTATACTTTTGGCAGTAGCAAATAGCAAGATGCCCAATGCCTTGTTGCTGAATCTGATGAAGAAACAGTCTGTAAATCTATTCCCTGCCAGCCCACCCTCCCCAACCCAACTTTCAGGAGTTTAAAACTGCTCTTTAATCACCAACTTGGATGGAGATTCCTGATTCCTGATTAGGCTACTCACCTGGAAAACAACCACCCTCTTTCATCACAACTACCCTCATGGGATGCAGATCTTCACTGAGCATTAGCCAAAATACACCACATGGATTGTGCTAAAATAGCAGCATAACCCCCACAGTTTCCCATGATAACATACATGGACATGCATTTGAGCAGATATGTCATTATGATGACTCATGTGGTATTTAGTCTTCAGGAAAAGAAACCCAATGTTTTCATCCTAGCAAACTTATTATAAAGAAAATAAATTTTCCATTTATAGTAAATTATTAATATATCCCCATTGTATTAATTAGCATTTATTACTGCTCAGAGACAGCAAGAGCAACCAGTGGGCACAGTTTGAATTTATGCATCAATTAAAAATGCTGACTTGGCAATTTTCTTCCCTCTCTAGAAAATTGTATGTTATCTAAATGTATATAGACTGGTAGGTTATTTATCTATAGGTTTACTCTGTTTTAAGAAGGACTGATTCTTCACTTTTTATTATGCTAAACCAAGTGAAATTGCCATTTCTGCAGGTCAAAAATGCTTAAATATCAGCAGTCTCATATAATTCCACCTAATAAAAAAAGATTCACCATATGAATACTTTAAATAGTAAACTCTCCTAATATGTTTGAAAATAATTCAATTTCTGAAGATGTATTTTTCATACATTTCAGAATCTTGGGTTGTATAAAACAAGGTATAATGTACAAGGCTAATGTATTATGTATTATGTATTAGGCAGGAAATATTATGATTAATCCAGCAAAGACAGGTTCATCCAGCCTCACCATTCCATCCATGCCAAATCTGAAGCTTTGGACTCATAATTGAGTTTGACCGCTGCAGACCCCACCATACTTACTAAGTAGGTAAAAGGGGTCCATTTAATGCAGTTAAATGGTTATATTTAATAATACGCTTTATTCACCTGCATTTGTACCAAAAAATTTTTGTAACAAAATGAATTGTATGGAAGGAAAAAATTGAGTTTCTTTTATTTGAAGTCATTAATATTTAAAATCGAGTCCTATTATATAAAAACAACTATAACATCTGAATTAATATTTAGCATGTCATTTTTGAGACCTGGAAAATAAATGCTGACTGTTTGGTTTGCTGGTAAATGTCTATTGGCTGAAGAATGTAAAGCGCATTAATCTCTTCATCCCAAATAAATTGTAAGAACTATGAATTTGTGGTATTTATAATTTTGAGATGTTATTTTTTTTCTTATTCTGTAACCCTTCCCCCCACCTTTTGTTTCTCTCCATGTACAAAAGTGTTTGTTCTTTTAGTAGTAAGGTATGAAAAAATGATTGACTATCAGATGTTAATGAAGCTGATCTGAGGTAAGAGTAAGAGAAAGCCTGGCAAGTGCGTACCTTGTACGGTTTTTGTGACTGTTTCCATTTCATACTTTCTTCATTTGATCCTCACAGCAACCCTGAGAATAGTGAGTAGAGGTATTATGAAGGTTGTTGTACAAAAGAGGACATAAGCAGGGAGATTAGTGAGGTATTCATGGTTACACAAAGACCAAGTCAAGGTTACACTGCTGGCCTTTGGACGGCTAGTTCAGAACTCAGCCCACTGTGCTTTGCTTTCAGAGCAGTGAATACTCTCTTTTTAAAAATATTTATTTCTTTATGCATGCAAGAACTGGGGTGTAGGCCAGAGGTGCGGGGGGAGAGGATTCACCAGAGACAGAGTGGGGAGCAGAACAGGCAGATCTACTGAATACACTACTGAGGGGGGCAGCGAGCCAGACAGGAGAGGTCTGCTCTGCTATGTGGGTAAGCTCCCTGGCTGGTGATCGAACTCATGTTGTAGAAGCTGCGGATAGCTTCACAGTGCTGTGCTAAACCCCTTGTGCCACCATGGAGGCCCTGAATACACTTTCAAAGCTAACTATTCTCTAACAGCCCAAGGACTGCAAGTGATTGAACTCTATATGTGATTAACTCATTGTGTGCAAATTCAAAGCAAATAAGCAGAATTTGGCCATCTCTTAAAATAATTTTATAGCTGCAGCAACACATATTTAACAGACTGTGGGAAAAAGTCTATACAAAGGTAGGTCCTATAGCTTTAATTTCTATGGTTGAAAAAATGAGGCAGAAATGTAGGTAGATTATCACTCACAATATAAATCCTAATCCCCTGATTGTTTGACTTAATGTACACAGTCAATGCCAGTTCTTCATATGCATGATTATTATTTCTCCCCTCCTCACCTAGAAATGAGAACACCTCCTCTTAGTTAAAAATAGTATTCTTTAAAATTGTATAATGCTGTAAGTGCTCACAGCAATCCCATTTGTGCTCTATAAAAAAAAAGTAATGACATTAAAAGGGAGAGAATTACTGGCTAGTGAAGTTTCCTCTAGATGCAAAGAATGAATTATTATACTTGTAGAAAAAGGAGATGAAATTATGGAACATATGTAGAGTAGGAAAAGGAA